ACAACGATATGACAATATACGGAGCGCACGCAATAAGAGTACATACGAGAAATTTCCGTCTTAGATAATTGGCGGAGAGAAAGCTCTCGATCTGAAGATGCTGAAGATAAGCTAGGTCCGTTGTAGTCGAGCGGCCGAGAGAGAGAGTCGGTTTGCAACCAACGAAGGCTATAGAAATATATAATCATTACGTATGCTTATTAAACTTTATTCATAAGCTAGGTGGTGGTTACTGCCTGACCCGACACTCTTCCCCAAGTTTGGCCTGGCTTCCAAGTTCGTCCCTAAGGGGGCAAAAGGCACAGCTTTGACACTGCCCGCTTGTTGGCCCCAGATAAGGTTCTGATCACCGCCACTCGAGCCACTCCATCACGACCAGGGACCAGCTCCAAATTATCACCAGCGGCCACATCATCGGGGGTAGGTTCTCGTCCTTGACCAGCACCACATCGTTGACTGCCAAGGCAGGGCAGGCATCACGCTCGATAAAGCAGGATGACGTACCTCCAGTCAAAAAATGGTCGTTAGAACATCAAGGTCTGCAGGATCTTTTGAAAGAGACTATAAAAGTAGTGAATTTATGTCAGCACCAATGTGACACAGCAGAGTTCGCAGCTCCTTAGATCCAAGAACTGCGGACCACAGCGCCCGGTAAAAATGATGCTTGGCAAAAATGCAGCAAGCTGTGATGTCTTCTCCCACAGCTACGGCAATTACATATAAGCGACGCAATCGGTGATGGCCTGTTCGGAGAAATTTTCGACAGAGGCCGAGTCACCTAGCCTGGCCTAGGCGGCTCTTAGGGGGCAACAGTAGAAATCTTGGACACGAAGGCACCTCATGAGTCCACCCACCGCAATATACAGATGGGAGGTATCCTAAATAATAAAGGTGGATCTTCTCTTATTAGCAATTCGACGTCCTCCCACCCGAGTGCCTGGCGCGTATGCGGCCATGGCCACATCCACAGCCTCGACAGTCCTGGCTGGTCCATTCTTTGAAGGAGCACATGAACGATGATGATGTTCCTAGGATCCTCTTCAAATCCTGGACGAATGCGTTGGCCTTGCATTTTAAAATAGCAATCCGAGATGAAGTGGGTGCACCTGTGTCTGCGCTGCTGGTACCCATCGCCACTAGTATCGAACTACGACCGATTTAATAAACACGCTGTAACTAATTCCGTCACTAAATTTTAGCCAAATTAGTATTATTCATTATTTGATAATATAATATAAAATAATATATTTTCTCTCGCCAAAATGTCGTTTAATTTCTGGAGGCAGTGTCGAGCGGCAGTTTTCTCCAGATGTATACATCTCTGCCTTAAGTCTTCGCTTCGCTCTGGAGCGCATAAGTTAAGCTAGGTTTAATAAGATCTATTTTCATAGTGTCCAAATAAACACCCACGCTCGTCCCGTAAAAACTCCAAAGTACCCTCGTGATTTTTCGTACCTTCGTTCTTGGGACTTTATCGATTTCAGCGATCAAGCCACCTTGCCCCAACATTTTGGTTCAGTCGAAGCCGGAATTCATAATCTTTGGATTTTCCTCTCCTGGAGTTTTCTTGGATTTTTCCCAGCAGGCTTGAACTGCTTCAGATAAGTTCCACTTATTATTATTTGCCGGTCATACAGCCAGTTTTTCGAACCCTATTTCGACTAACTTTCTGTATGATATATTTTCTAAATCCAAAAGTGATTATTCCGACGCAGCGGCTTTTAATATGTGTATTTCAATTCCGTTATTTGTGCCCGACAATATTCCGGTTTCCTTTGCCCACAATTGTACACCTTAAAAAATTCCAGTAGGTATTTCAGTGCTACTTCATTTTCAAGTCATATATTCCTCAAATATATTTTTAGTTCCAATTGTGTGTAAAATATAACTCAGGCACAGTAAAAACTTTCCGATTATACAATTTCTGCTCAAAAATTGCACTGTTGATTTTTACTGTGTTCCAGCTGCGTGTTTATATTTACAAAAATATTCTAATACAGTCCACTTTAACTACTCTGTCTAATATTTGCTAAATTATTTGTAAAATTAAAAACAAAAATACAATATCCACAAATTTAAACCAGCACAGACAACAAAAATAAGCGAAGTCTTAACAATTCCCTCTCCGTTATTCCGCTATTCGCACCCTACATGTGTACATTGTACACAGTACATACATACGTATACCGAAGTCCGTAAAGTCCGTAAATCTTTACATAAATCCGAACATCCGATATAATAAATATTTATAGAATTTGCCTATCCGACAGTGTGACCGTATATATTTTTACGGACTTCGATTGGTTCCTAAATTCCAAGTACTTTCTAGCCCATTTCCGTTTCCTTACTTCTGAACTAAAATTCTGAATTATTTTCCGTCATGGCAACATCAGCAAAGTCCGCTTTATCCCGGTTTATGGCCACAGCTGACTGTGTGATCCACTTTGAAGCCACTATGAACGCTCCAGGTGCTCCTACCCCAACGTTATCCGCCTGGAAAATCCGTCGCGATCATTTCAATTTCTTGTGGCAAACGTTAAAAGCAGCATATGACATATGCTTCGATTGCAATGTGGCTGCAGGCGAGAGCGCCGCAGACACAAAATCCATACTAAAATCCATTTATTACCAAACGTACACCACTTGAGAAATGTTTGCCGCGCAGCTCATGCAACAAATCCAACAAGGCTCCTCCCAAGTATCGCAAGCTCCTATCGACACAGAGGTTTTCTCGGGCGAATATCTTCGCTGGCCGACTTTCCGTTTGAGCGTTTCGAAAATAAGCGATTGCAGGTGAACAGTCCCCTAAAATCTATGTTCAATCCAAAACACAGGAGTCTGGAGCAGCCTTAAAGGAACCTCAAAGCACTTTTCAAGGTTGCTTAACTTCCTTACAGTTTTTCGGCGTTAGTATTGAGAATTGGGACCCTATCCTGGTTTATATGTGCTCGATAAAACTACCAAAGCTCAAAGTAAAGCTCTCATTATGGGAGCAATCCATCCAAAACAAGGAAGAACGCTATAGTCGAGTACCTCGACTATCAGATACCCGTTACTCAGCTGAATAGAGATATGCAAGTAGCAAAGCGAGATTAAAATGCGCCACCTACCGGCGGTATACAGATTTAAGCGTTATGGGCCAATCGATAGGTATTGACGAGACCAATACATTTCAGTTAAAATTTTTTATCTAGCATGAAAATTGTGGGCGTCACAGGTTTTCGCGGTTTGTGGGCGTTAGAGTGGGCGTGGCATATTCGCGTAACAAACTTGCGCTGCGTATAAGGCTACGGAATCTAAATCTGAAATCCCAATTCTCTGTCTTTGATAGTTTCCGAGATATCCACGTTCATATTTACGATTTTTTGAAGTTTGTGGGCGGTTTATGGGCGTTAGGGTGGGCGTGGCAATTTGGGTCAATCGATAGGTATTGATGAGAACATTATACTAGATTCGTCGGCAAGTTTGTAACAGGCAGAAGGAAGCGTTTCCGACCCCATAAAGTATATATATTCTTGATCAGGATCACTAGCCGAGTCGATCTAGCCATGTCCGTCTGTCCGTCTGTCTGTCCGGATGAACCCTGAGATCTCGGAAACTATGAGAGCTAGGCTATTGAGATTTGGCGTACAGATTCCTGAGCTTCTTACGCAGCGCAAGTTTGTTTCAATAGACTGCCACGCCCACTCTAACGCCCACAAACCGCCCAAACTGTAACTCCTACAGTTTTGATGCTAGATAGAAAATTTTAACTGAAATGTATTGTTCTCATCAATACCTATCGATTGACCTAAAAAAAAGTTTGCCACGCCCACTTAAACGCCCACAAACCGCGAAAACCTGCGACGCTCACAATTTGCATGCTAGATAAAAAATTTTAACTGAAATGTATTGGTCTCGTCAATGCCTATCGATTGGTCCAAAAAAAAATTTACCACGCCCACTCTAACGCCCATAACGCTTAAATCTGTACACCGCCGGTAGGTGGCGCATTTTAATCTCACTTTGCTACTTGCATATCTCTATTTAGCTGAGTAACGGGTATCTGATAGTCGAGGTACTCGACTATAGCGTTCTTCCTTGTTTTGTTTGTGTTTCCTTTTGGTATGCACTTGGTTCGGCCTCGAAAACAAAAGCCGCATTTGACCTCTACCCAAAAGAATGCAAAAGCTTGCAGTTTTCTTGTGATAACTCAAATTCAGTTTTTCAAAAAAGAGTTTATATATTCAACATTACTTCTTTTATTATTGTATATATGAATTAATCTATTTTTCATACATTAGTTATAATCTATTTTAAGTATTATTTACTTAAACGTAAGTGTGTAATTTCTTTCAACTTAATGCTAACATTTATTCATATATCTGCTTAGGTATAGAATAACATTTATATTATATAAATACACATTGTTAGCCTTTGCCACTATCTATAGTTCAGCTTAGGCTAAAAACCTATCAGTCGACCAATAAATTATAATGAATAAAGTGAACTTTAAATTCATTATATCAGAGTTATTTAATTCAACATATCTCCCTAAAAGCAAATAAAATAATGATTTATCCATTATCAAAGTAAATAAAAAGTCACAATATATATATTACATGTATATACAAATAGCTATTTTATTCGTTGTAAGTCCCCCTTTATTATTGTTAGGGTACTATTATAATACCAATAACATATATCGGCGGGTGCCCTATGATACCAGCTGTTATTTATTTTTAAACTTGTAAGAAAAGAATGAACTAAATATATCCATCGAAAAAAACGTACGGTTTTTTTTACTGCACACCTTTTAGACGTACAAATTAAAATATACACACAATAATATTGCAAGCGTTTCAGGGAAAACTCAAGATTAAAAACACAGAAAATGGAAGCATTTGATATTTTTTAAAGATTACAAATTAATTAAAAACTAATTTCATGTATTTAGTTATACATTTATATATTTTGAATTAACGAGTTGCTTATAAACTTTTCAGTAAAATAAAGCTTAATTTAGTTATATGTTTATTGATAAATTATCGGATCAAACATATGTAATATGGTTAAACAGTCTTTTAAATTAGCAATGGCTATATACATTGTTCTGATTACATAAATAATACATTACTTCGTTAATATATCCAGGACCACAAAACTATTGTAACACAGATTCTTTATCATCTTATACGTGTTTGCGATTAAGCTCTTTATAAATATGTTGGTATATGTGTGATTGTGTGTGGGAAAACAGGCCTTCTAAAACTGAATTCGTTGCCATTTTACTTAGAAAAGTTGAAATATTTTAAAAATAGTTTTTATTAAAATTTGAAATGTTTGACATAAAACAATACTGTGTTGCTTACAAATGTGTTCAAAATATGACAGCATAATTCGATTTCAGATGGCCGGTTTTAGAGGTAATGTCCCAAATATATGTATATAGTATATATACATGGTATGAACGTGACTAGAGCCCTATATAAATCGGCATTTAGTTTATCACAGCAATATTTTTATTGAATTTTTAGGCCTGCTATTAATGTAATTTCTTTTTATCCTTTTAATACTTCTTATAGATTTCAAATTTGATAGAAGTCATAGGTCGTAACCTTTATATGTTTTATTTTAAAATTACTCTTTGAATTCATGAATTTTTAAATAACACCTTTGAGTTTTATATAAAACTGAAACAATAAAACTTATGTCTTGACTTTTGTTTTCCGCTAGAAAAATACAAAATATAGATATTATCCGGCCTGTTCCAGTTTTCACTTGGTAGTGAAATCGATAACATTTTTAAGACTTCCCCTTTACATAATAAAATCTCCATTGTTGGTTCGGGAATTTTCTTAGCCGAATTCATTTTTGGTGTGAAGTTAAACAGCTGACTGCATCGGCAGTCTCTTAACAAAAGCCTAAACAATGCCAGAGTTTTTCAACCAGTGAGTGATATTTTAGGCAAAAAAACAAACTTTCTATTAATTTTCAATTTATTTATATTTTAAAAATAACAAAAAATTGAGTTTTTTAGTTCAAAGGGTTGCAAAAAATAAAACAAATATGGAAATTAAAAAAGTCCAATAAGGGGGCAAAAGAAACCCGTGAGGATTTTTCTGAAGTAAAAGCTAGAAAAGGTTAGAGAAGTGAAAACTAGAACAGGGCCGTATTTAAAGATCCAAAATAAGGTGGACTGGAATGTTGATGATGATTATGTATTTTTATACTTTACTCTTCCATATTTTACAAGATTTTGGGCGCACAGTAGTTCCGTCAAAGCAATTGCAAAAATACGCTTTCAGTATATCGTTATGTACTTTTGCTATTGTTATTAGTGTGATTTCATTTTATAATGATTTTCGATTTTCCACAGAATAGTTGTAAACATTATTATTAATTATATACTGTTGCCTACTCAGAGAGAAAAACAGTGACATAATATTGTTGAATTAATAAAAATAGTATTTCCTATCATTATCTTTTTTATTTGTGGTTTTTATAAAGGTCTCATAAAAAAAGTATTTAAATAGTATTATATTAAGTATACAAAATGCAACGCCCATGAGAGATTTAATATATAATTTATGTTTTATTACAAATGAATGTTATTGTTTGGTTTTTTGTGAAGTATGATTTGTATGCTATAGATTTACATAAGGCTCTAGTTATAATTTTTTTAGTTTTACAAAATCAATTTTTAAGATTGTCGCAAACCTACGAATCAAGATATGTTTATTAAGTACAGATGTACATCTATAGACTAACGTCAAGGTATATTAAAATTTTAAGATAATTAAACCTAAACAAATTTGAATTACAAACACATTAACAAACATTTTATTTATTATAATTCAATGTTTAGCAAACGTGTACGACAAGCCCAATGTTGACGTAAAACGTGCCTTTACACAATTAATAAATTTATTAAAAGTTTAATAACTGAATGCAGACTAGTATAAAAGTACTTATAATAATATGGGCGATAAACCAAAGTAAGTATTTAAATATGACCTAATAATTTATACCAGAAAATAAATTTAAAAAATTGCATTATTATCAGAAATTTAGCTTTTCATGGAATAGTAGCTATCAGGTCTTATGGTCAATAAATTCGTAAGCATTATCAGTACTTTCTATTTTAAAATGTTACCTATTTACATTTTATTTATTTTTATATTGTATATATATATATGTATATTATTTCACATCTTATTTAAAATTTATACGTAAATCAATTCTAAAAAAACATGAACTAAATGTTTTTTCTTGCAGATGATATTCTGTTTAAATCCTTAGCTGTAAAGTTATTAGGATTGTGGTACTGTTAACAGAAATAAACCGATTGCAACTCAAACATGTGGATAAATATACGAATAGCCCCAAATATAATTTGTTCTATTTTATTTTGAAGTACCAAGTGAATTAGGAAGAACTTCAAATAGAAACTTGTAATTCCGCCAGCGTATGTGAAATACTAAGAATGGAAGTTTTTTAAGAATCGGAATATTACAAAGACTGTCAGGAATCTCTAACGAATGGTATCAATTAAGCTATACATAATGCACTATATATGACTTTAAATTATTTTATTGATGAAAATAATTAAAATGATTAAGAATAGTGTTATTCAAAAATAAAAATTATTGTTTGGATTTATATGGTCGAAAAGTTACGTCCAATAATTAAAAGGCTTTAAATGCTTACAGAAATATGACAACTATGTACATTGACGTTCTCATTAAAGCAATTTTAATCTGAATCTTGGATTTTTCGTTACTGCGAGGATGACAAATTTGTAAAGCGTCTAGCGATCATTGCTCGAAAGAAATTATTAACAAAAAGAAACGCTATAGTCGAGTGTCTCGACTATCAAATGCCCGGTACATTGTTTACTATCATCAAAACAAACCTTTAGATGGAGCCACAAACTCTAATGGGGCTGGTGCCATTTACTTCAACTAATAGTGACTTCAGTGACTATAACAGGCCTTCAAATTAAATTTATATAAAAAGTTTTTTAGTAACTGTAGGTTTAACCAAATTTAGGTAGGGTATAGGTATTGACAAAATAAATTGAAAGTATGAATTTTACATTTTGTAGGCGTTACAATACGCATACCTCACTAAAATTCGCATTCCAAAATATTCATATGGACTGACGAATGGACAGACAGTCATCGCTAAATCGACTTGGGTAGTGATCCTGATAAAGACGACCGAAGATCGTATGATAAAAAGTAAATATAGATAAATGGCTGCCTTCAGCCATTTTTTCGTGGCCATATATATTAAGGACACCGACATCTTTAAAAAGTTTTAATGTTATTCTAAAACAAATACTAATTAATTTTTGTTTCACACTGTAACTAGAAAGACCAAACTATTTCCTTAATATTGTTTAGAAGAATTCATTTAGGCAAGTCAACATAAAACTGAAAGCGAATTATCGGAAAAGGATATACAGCTTTAAAGATTAAGTTAATGAATTAAGCATTGAAGATTGGACATGTGCTTGCAAAATGGATTGATGGTTAGTGTATATTGTCTGTTAATTTATTTGGCATTTCTTAGCTTGGGATCTGTCTCAGGTTTATTTTTAGAAATATTTATGGTTGGCCTCTAATTAGGTTGATGCTATCGGGTTTTGTGCATAAGTCCTAAGATTCGGTGAACTTAGTATATAGTTTAATTATAAAAAAGAAATATTGCGTTGTATATCTTGGCACTAGTTATTAATGGCCTCTCGTTTCATAAGATGGCGATGGGATGTCGAGATAATTATTGCACGGTTATTTATTTGAATTATTTTTCGCTCACTTATGGATAATTAAATGTAAAAATACATTTGGATCTGTTATGAAACGCTAATGACGCCAGTTTCGGAAGCGCCTGCGCTTGTAGTCTTTACAGATGCATTTGCTTGTGGATCAGATGCTTTATGGCATTCACTGCTATTTACAGCATGAGTACTTACAGACAGCATTGTGGGCTCACTCCTTTTAGCTGTTTCCATATGGTTAGTTAACTGTTGATGGAAATGTTGGCTAAAAGTGCTGTTTAAAAGAGAATGGTTCGCGCGATAGCCATGTGCCGCCACATGATGAATAATGGAGGTGGCTGCATGAGCTACAATAGTCTGGGAGTTACTACCTTTCATCAATTCAACATTTTGATATTCACGTCTTTTAGTTAACTGATTAATGCTCAGGGGATTATTAATATCCCGTGGGTTAGCACCAATAGGGTTTCGGGAAATGTTTGGCATTGAAGAATGGTTTATACTACTATTACCAATCGATGGCAACGAAAATATAGCATTATTACAAACTGTGGGATGTGGCTGAAAAAATGTGTCAGGGCTACAGCTACTTGTGCTAACTACTGGAGGACTTAACCCCATTCCCAAGTGACTAAATCGATTTCCAAGCATCATGGCTCTTTCATGCGACGAACTTGGAGATGGACCCGTCGTACCTGTAACTGGCGAAACTGTACTGGAGGTATTTGGGGTAGTGCTAATGCTACTAGTTGACCCACTACTTGATCCTGATGTAGACACAGATGTGGATCGTTGTTGTGAAGTCGGCTGATCTGCACTGACGATCAAAAGGGCATTTGAGGTGGCAGGAAATACAACATTAGTTGCTGGATTGCTATTCATATTAAGTGGGCTTGCCAAGCTCACTGTTGTCGATGGGCTCTGTAAACTGGACAATCCACTTAGACAGCCTGGGCTGGGCATGGATTGATTTAAAGACTCGGTGTCGTCATCTACTATTTTATTACTTTCGTCGCCGCTTCCACAACTTCCGGCCAGTTTATCATCATCGTATTCGTCATCGTCGTCATCACTTAGCTGGCTTCCATGTTCATCAATACCGCTACCGTCTTCGGTGGGCCCATTTTCATTCAGTGCTTCCATATAACGAATGCATTTTTTTTTGCGCCTATGTAAAATAAGAAAATTACAAATATATAAATATTTTTTCAGAACCACTTAAAGTGCAAGTACTTATTCATTCCGTATAATTTATACACAATAATTAAACGTTCATGCAGCAAGGATCAAGGCCTTACAATTCACAAACAGATCAACAATAATAAAAATGATTTATTATTATTATTAACAGCATGCCTATATTGCTTCAATTATATAAATATTAAACCTTAAATCTTAATTATAAATTTATTCTGCTGAAGCTTAATATTTGAATAAATTAATAAAACCATTTATTCGGGGAACGACTAAAATTAAAAAAAACCAACAATGTAATGTATTGCGTAAAAAAAAAAATTCCAGAATTTGTACATTGATTCTCTATTAATATGTTAAAATACAAAACTATTACTTCAAAAGCATTACAAAGGACAACTATTAAAATCATTTTTGTTCAACAAATTATTCATACAAACGACAGAACACAAAAATAATAAAAACAAGAAAAAAAGCTAACTTCGGCACCCGAAGTTTATACACACTTGCAATCAAAATGCTTATTTGCTTAGTAGTGGGAATTCGATCTAGTTTTGATCGTAGTGCAGGGCCACCCAGCATATTTGTTTATTTGCCTAAGGTAAAAGGTCTAAGTTTAATACAAAACATTTTGGGCCTTCAAGCACTATTCATTAATAACCACCAAACATAGTAATTTAAATTGTAAAAATACTCTTTTTAGACATCTTCGAAAACGTTAAACTCAGTCAAACAAAAAAGTCCATTGAAACATTATTATTAATAGTTTTTCTTAAATAAACAAACCCTTATAGACCACAAGCTTTATGAAGTTAAGAATATTATATATATAAATAAGATCGTAGATTTTTTTGGATTTATGGTATGAAAATTGATCTAGTGAATAAACATTATAAAAATACATTTGATCCAGCTAAGCCAAGAACATACGATATTACTGATCCAATTCTTAAGTAGTGAAAATTTGATCAAATTTGAACCATGGTGCAAGGTTATGTGTTTATTTGCTTAAGTAATAACTCCAAAGACATTTCGATGGCATCAAAATGTTTCTACCTTACTTTTTTCTAAGAGAACTGTTGTTTGCTGAGACTTGACACATTTAGGCGAAAGATGGTTATTTGATTTAAATGTGTAGAGGAGTGAAAACGAAATGACTGTACGAGTTATTCGCCCAGAGCGATTCTGTTATATTAAGAATAAAAATAAAAAACAAGAGTTCCTATGAGTAACCATATCAATTTTTTTGTAATATTGATGGTTGGTGGGCCAATGGAATGCACATTATAATTACAAAAAATGTGCCAATAAAGAACATAATTCCAACTTTTTTTAAATAAACAAAAACATTTTTTAAGTTGTAAAATGTATAAAATGTTACATCTTTGGTTCCAACTATCAACAACAATCACAACCAACCAACAATGACTATAGGTTTTTGTGTTAGTGTTCTTAAAATACTAAAAGAAACGTCAAAATAATCGCATTGTTGCTTGGTGTATTAAACTCTTTAAAAAATGCGTATTGAGTAGTTAACCGAATCACAGTCAAAATGTAATTCATTTAAGGACTGTCGATGCTGAATATGCGCTTTGAACAAATAAAAAAACAACTATTAATATCAAACAAAGGTACGTAAGTAACATCCAAGTTGTGCCGTTTTTTGTCCGACAGAGAGTTTATAGAATAACAACAGTTTATTTCACCACGCGGCAAAAACTGGAATAAAATATTAAAAATACATATATATATTATGTTTTGCGCAATGATATCAATGAGATGCATTAAAACTGTAAAATAACGGAAATATATAACTTTATTAGGGTCCTGTCTAATAAAACAAAATTCTGTCACTAAGCTCAAAAGCTTAAATTGGCGAGCAAAATTTAAATTTTGTTAAAACATATTTTTCAAAGAATTTTTTTTTATTATTATTTATTTACAACTTGAAACCTGTTTGCACAACAGTGGCCATATATAGTTATAGAGCTATGGGGCTAACTCGGTTTTTTATACATTGGCTTTACATAGAAGAAGTCTGGTTTGGATCTTTGGTTTTTGTATATTTAGTATTCATTCATTACTTGAAAATCTGACCTAGCAATCGAGTAGGGATGGTACTTTTTCGAAAAGACGCAGTCTGACACGAAAAATAAGTTTATTTAAATTATTTGTTTGAACGTAGTCAAGAAATTGATTTTCAGGGTTGTATCGGTAAGGTTTGTCAATCTTATTAAAAAGAAAAAAGGTTTATTTACGATCAAAAAGTCATCAAAATGAAGAATTAACTAATAATTCAACAATAGTTAGTCGCATAACATTTATTGAAAATATTTAGAAAAGAGAATCCAATTGGGGATCTTGTTAATTTTACTATTTAATATAAAGGCTTTGCAAGTTTAGTTTTATTTGTTTTTAACATTGGATTGTCGTAGATTAATGGCACTTTTCTTAAAATAAAGTCCTTCTTCACCGGCATTCCTGCACGTCTTAATCGAACATTTTAAACCCTTATTTAAATAAAAAACATTCCCCAGGGCGGTTTTATTTTTATTTTTTAACTTTAAACACTTAAACATTTATATTTGAAAAACTCTTTTTGTCTTTGAATGGCCGTAAAAAATACTAAAACATTACCTAAACAAACTAAATATTAAAAGGTATGTATAAAAAAAAAGAACAATTTAAGGTCAATGATTTTAGGTTGAGATACATAGAATACCGCAAAAACCTTTTTAGGTGTTCTAGAAAAAGCTTAGTCATTGACAAATATGTCGATAGTATCGGATAAACAACGGATACTGGATATTAAAACTATCGGGATGATACTTTCCCAAAAAGTCTTCTTTATATTGCAGATTGTATATAAGCCCCATTTGAAGTATCGGGTTTGTTATCTTCGACTCTGGGGTACACGTTTTTTTAATAGCGACGAATAACATTTGTAAGCATGCTGACGTTTATATTGTATTATTTTGATACTGCGATAGGGACAATCAGAAAAGGAAATGACCGAAAGTCTACCAAGCCAAAAAGCTATAAGCTTACTTAAAACATATTTGCTTTAAGATTTTTCCTCGATAGAGGTTTCTAAGTAGATAGATTCCCATCCCAGCAACGCAATATGTATATAATTTCATTCATTTTAATATCAAATCCTGTCAATATCCTCAAAAAGAATTTTTTGGTTTTTTGTTTGTACAAAAATTGTACAAAATCAAGGCTAAGGTCAGCACTCGTCCTGTAATACAATAAAATTTTATCTTTAATTTCGGTGAGTATTTTGCAACAGTTGTTGTTGCTGTTGTACACTGTTTCTGAGTAGCAGAACTGTTCCGTATACCTGAATAGGAAGCTGCCGGCCGCTGTTCTAAAATCGTAAGAAGTAGTTTTCTGGAGTAAAATAATATAAGATCTAAGCGTCTTAAATTCTGATTAACCTGTTAATTGGCGTAAATGTTTCATGTGTTCCGATCTGGCTACACTACCTGCAATATAAATATAACTTTTGGGAAAGTTTAATCGTAAATAGGTGAGAGACTTGTATGTGTACGGACGGATATAGGGACTTGGATATCAATGTATATTCAATAACTTTTTCTTCACTGTCTTGCAAATTTCTGTCCTATATTGTAATACGACCCACATAATAGATGCTAGATTATTCAGAACTTGCACTAGTGAAGCTGATTCGGATTCTGCACAATAAACGACCTGAATTTTATTTTTTTGAAATAAGGGACGCAGTGTTAACTCGCATGGTTAACTCTGGCAAAAAAAAACACGAAGGATAATAAGTATGCAAATTTTATAACTTTAAAATTAAACTAGGGTAAGAAATTGTGGTTATTGCTTTGATTGGATAATACACTAACCAAAACATTGCAAATTCGATAGTGTATCGTGCTTAAATTGTTTTTATTATTACCTGTGCATTTAAGCAAACAACTTAACTTTAAAGGCAATTTTATTATCAATTGTTATAACATTAAAATATGGGAGTCATAGCATTAAGTAAGGCACAATAACGCATTACTAACAAATAAAACAAGTCAACTCAATATTAAGAAATCGTAAAACTGAATATACATAATTCTTTGTATTACGCACATCAAATTGACAACAACAATGTGGACCTTATTCAAAACGTATATCAGGGTTTAACAAAACAAGTGTTATCAAAAGCTCTAAAATAAATCATATTGCTTACTTCTATATTAAAAAAAATTGTATAATAACACCATACATTGATTATGTAAATAAATAATAAATTAGGGTACATTTTTCATCATTCATAAAGTTATTAACCTGAATATCGCTTGAAAGTAAAAATGGTCAATTAACAGCCGATATAGTAAGTATGTTTCTAAGTGACTATCTATTTTGTAGGACTCTTCAAATGCATTGCTTTTCTGATCGAAGTATAAAACAACGTTTAAAAAAATGTTACCTACAAAATTGTACTAAAATTTAAGTACCAATTATTATAGAATTAGGTATATTCGGCTAAACATTGCAATTTAAAAACCCCAGGGTCTACATCATTGGGATCGATTCGACCACTTATAGAAGTGGCGACTTAAGCTTAGATTTTAAAACCAATTTCCACTGATTCTGGTTCCTACTATACATAGTTCTGATCAAATGTAATCATAGATGTGTTTTAGAATATTAATAAATAATTTAGCATTAAAATATAAGGGCTGAAAGAATTCATGAAAATTTGGAGACTTGGATACTTTTACAAGAATCTGAATGTTTAATTGTAAAGGTCTCGACTCGACCTTTAACGTACGAGTACTTGTGTAATAATTTATTTTAAATAAAGCGCTTATCACGGCATTATTTTAAAATGTAATAAAAATACCACACTTTTTTTATATTCAAATACAATAATGTAGGGGACATAAACATTAATTTAAATAAGTTTTTAGGGGATAATGTTAAAGATAAAAATTTGGTTTAACCCTTTAC